GTAGTAGTAGTAGTAGTAGTAGTAGTAGTAGTAGTAGTAGTAGTAGTTGTTGTTGTTGTAGTAGTAGTCGTGGTGGTGGTGATGATAATGACAGGGCCACGACCCGTGGGGGACGATCTGTATTGAATGGCCACAAATATGTGCTGTGTCCAGAAGCCCAGGAACGCCAAACACGTTCAACACACAATTGAATGGGAATGCTGGTTTTCATCCATCATCTACTATACAGATCTATACAGTATATGTGCTCTGAAGCTCCCATGCAGTAGTTCCAAAGGTCTTTTAAAAGCCCAGCTCCAGTCCCCGGTATCGCTGCTATGCCAAGTCTGCAGAAACCACCGTCTGTCCTCCTCGTCCATCCTCTTCGCCGAGCTACCTGATGCCGAGAGGCCCAAACCTGATCAAGCGACTCAAGGACCACGGTCCGTGACCCCCGTCCATCAAGGACCTTTTGTCCTTCAGACAAGAACTGGAAGGGTGGGAAACGGCATGATCTATTGGAGAGAAGGCATGATTTCATGGCTTGTATAGGGAAGCTCTCTTGGGGCAAATGGTGGGCTGGTCAGAAATAAGTAAAAACCCTTCAAACCTAAGAGTGCCATGCCAAACTCAAGGGTCACACAGCCATCCTCAACTGCAAGAGCTTCGCCGGATGCTAAGTCACCAGGTGTATGGCGCAGTCAAAGCCAAGGCGCCGCCAAGAAACCAAATCCAAAACATTCCATGTATGATATTAATTTGCCTACATTGAGCCCTTTTCGTTGAGAGTCAGATGCCACTTGATGGAGACCCATGGAGCGTCTAGACGAATAGTAGCTGGAATTGTCCCGAGAGGTTTCGCCTCACAAAAAGGAGGACTTGAATGGGCCTCACCCCAATGGGTCTTGACGCCTCCGGGACTCGAGTCGACAGACTCGTCGTGGCCGGCGCCCAATCTCTAGCCTCCTCAAGGGCCTAACTGGTACATGGAGTACGAGAAGAACGAGTAAAATGGAACCCTGGGGGGGCCCTTGAATGATATTTCATACCATGGTCTTCCAAAAACAACCGCTCCGAGTGTCCACCACACCGGCCGAACTCCGCCCCGCCCTTTGTCTTCCCTCGATCCACCCTCTCCCGCCCCGAACGCATCGATCTGAGAGACGTTGACTCACTTCGTCTCCCAGCTCCTCTTGGAGCCTGGAACGGAGCCCGCGCCCGGTTGGACCGGGTCGGAGCAACCGAGAAATCGGAGCGCACAAAAAGAGCGTCGAGGCTTCGTTCGGAAACGGCCGGAGGGTCGGAGGGGCGGAATCGAGGTCGAGCTGCACGTCGTTTTGGGTTCGGAGTGGCCGGAGGGTCGATCCTAGTAAGTAGGAAAGGCCAGGGGGTTTGGAGAAGAGGTATAGTGGCTTCTTGGCTTCTTTGGGCGGTTTTTGTTTTCTCTATATTTTTTCTCGAAACACGTGCAACGAGCACGTTGGAGGCACCGTTTTTGTGCGTTTGTTTCGTCCAAGAAGAACGACACGACCGACTGGAGAAGCCCCACAGATCCATCCGCTTCCTCCCGTCGCGGCGCTCCGCTCCGCTCTTCAGCTTCGAGCAGCTCCAAGTACTCCAAGCGCAGCTGCTCCTTCCGTCGCAGCGCCTCCTCAGACACGCCGCAGTCTCGAGCAAGTGCGAGTCGAAAGGCGGAAGAAGAGGGGCCATCCAAACCAGCCAATGTGGTGAGCCTGAAAAATGGAGCATCAATCATCAGGTCCCAGATGTGCCACAGGTATATATTGCAGTGTGTTGTTGTGGGCTAGTGAGGATTATTGATGTGTATGATATAAGTTACAAATACAAGGTATTAACAATTTTGACATTTTGGGTTTGGGACGCTACACATGTTTGACCCCTCTCTATGCCACCAAATCCCCAACCCACCAACCACTTTGCATCACAAAAAAGAGATGCAAAACGTCCGTCCAGGTCTCTTGGTGCCAGTAGCTTCCTCGCAGCTCTTGCAACTCCTCCTCGGCCCAGAACATCAATGGCTGCGCCCCAGTCTCGGTCACGCGAAGCACGTGCTGCACAGGTGCAGGTGTAGTCTGGGACCTTGGAGGGTCCCCCAGGTGACCGAAGAGGAAGGGTCTGCTGATGTTGTTTTGGGGACGAAAAAAACAAAAAGAGAGGTCTCTCTGACCGAAAAGATCTCAGTTTTAGGTCTACGGGGAGAGTACTGCACCGCATGGCAGCTGTTTTCCAAGTTGAGGATGTGGCAGAATGTACAAGCGAAGCTGGGGGGTGTATTCTTTTAATTCTTTTGGGGGTCCGACAAAGATGCAATCGGATACCTCTCCTGCCCGATGAGGCCGATCTCCGACATGTTTCTTTGGCTGGGCGGAACAGAAGCGTCGGCTCTCCCAACAAAAAACACCGCTTCCCTGAAAAAAGGGGCCCAAATCGAGTCCCCAAAGCCGGTCAAGCGCGCAATAACCACCGAACCCTCACATTTGGACGGGTGTGGCGCTGTTGGATCCGGCGCGCGTGGCCGCGCCCCCTGGACGATCCAGTGTGAGTTGGCGTGATTCATGATGGACCAGTCATGGAGAATTGGAGTGCGGCCTCCAAAAGAATTCTGCCCCCCCCCCCAAAAAAAAGGGTGCTTTTTCTCTGCTTAGCCTTCCGACTGAGGAAGGGCCTTTGGGTAATGATTTGTGGTTTTGACGTGCAAATGTGTCTATCATCCGCTTCGGAGCTCCCTCCGCCCTGGGTCTGATGGGTGAATCTCTCTGTGTGGAAATCCTGAGGTCCTCAAAATGGAGTGAAAGGAACTCTTGATACTCTTGTATGCATCCTTTGGCCTTCCCTAAGCGCATTGATCAAATAAGCTGCTCAAAGAGGAGGTGTAGAACGATCCAAGTGGAGCTGCCTCAATGGAACTGCACAACAACACCAACACCACCACCACCACCACCAACACCACCAACACCACCCCCACCAACACCACCACCACCACCACCAACGACAACAACAACAACACCAACAAGAAGAAGAAGAAGAATAAGAATAACAAGAACAAGAAGAAGAAGAACAACAATAACAACAATAACAACAAGAACAACAACAACAACAACAACAACAACAACAACAACAACAACATCAACAAGAGGAAGAATAATAACAAGAACAAGAACAACAATAACAACACAAATATATAAGGGTTGCCGACGTTTGGCATCACCGATTCACATCAACACCGTTTGGGTGAGACATCGATGGTATCATCGACCGTCCAAATGGTGAAGACTTGGAGTGAAAAGTCCCCGAGTGGCTTCGATCGCATCCACGCCATCTATCATAGAGCTGACCGGCAAGTCTCTCCCATCCATTCCTGGAATGTGAAGACTTATAGGAATATTCAATTGAGCACTTGAACAGGTTGCGTGAAAGGATGAGTTATTGGAAACATATCCACTCAAATTATCCAAATAGCAGCTGTGCTAGCGGGGGACATTTTCTCTCCTAAAGCCAAATACCCTTTTTTCCATCCAACATCCCCCAGACATCCCCAGACCCACACAACCTTCGAGTTTTGGTTCCGAGACTTCTGACCTCCTCCGTTCGGCCCTTCGGCCCGCGTTCCTTCGGCCCCAAGGGACGGTGCAGCAGCTCGCAGCTGGGATTCCTTCGCCCTGCGACCGTCAACGCAGCCTCCACTTCTGGACAGCGCTCGGCTGCCTCTTGGGTCCTTGGACCAAGACGGATGCGACGAACGAACATGGGCGAACATGGCGACAGATGTGAGCCGTCAGTGACGTATGGAGGTGGCGCAACTTCAGATCCAAACAATGCAAGGGAACCCCCGAAACCCGTGATTTCGTCATGAATGTATGTAAATATAGTCCTAATTCTTCCTTGTGGAGTTGGATTCCATTGGATGCTTAGCCTAGTCATCTAAAGGTTCTTGGGTCCTGATGCCAAATCGACTCCCCACTCAAGTGACATGTTCCCCCCAAACTCCTTTCATATTTGTGGTGCTGTACCTTACCAAAAATACTTCGCACTGACTGCTTCATGTGTTCTTTGGTAGATACTGAGTCCGTTGCCTTGCAGGATTTATGCTCCTTCAGTCTGCTCCTCATCTCCTTGCAAGCATCCTCCTTTCAGTCATGTCGTCCTTCAGAACACTTCCTCTACGCAAGGCTCTTCCTTGTTCTTCAGAAGGACTTGTTTGGTCCTTGAAGAGCCTGGGTCCTGCTCTTTACCGCATTATGTCTTCAAAAGCCATTTCCCTGTCAAGACTCGAGACACTCCCACAGGCATTTCTTGCAAGTTTGTCTCACACTCGAGGCAAGCCACACACACTACTTTGTCTCAAAGTTCTTTGCCTTCCGGGCACATCCAGTGGGTTGAAGATGCAGCATTGTGGAAAATACACGCGCTCGCAGCCCTGGCTTCTCTTGATCTATCATACAGTAGCACAGCAGCAAGCCCCAAGCTGCCCCAAACTCATCAGCGCCAGGTTTACATGCTTCATCCGCAGAATGTGCAAACCAAACAAGTCTTTTCTGGGTACGTTTCATTAAACCTTGCCGTTCGTCATAAGAATCCACGATCGGTTCTGTTGGTTTGGCCTCCAGCTTTTGCCGTTGCCCCATCCCGCCGCGCCCCCATCACACCAATCTCTCCCCATCTCGCCCCGCCAGTTTGGCACACGCCGTGGCACCAACACTTGGCCCAGGGGATCGCGAAGAGCGGCGCCCCGGCGGGTGTGGCGCGCGTGCAACGGAGCGGAGCGACAGACGACGCCCCTGGCGAGCCGAACGACGGTTCCGACGGTTCGGGTCGGTCCGTCACGCATGGGTTCGGTGTGAAGGGAGCGATCAGCCGGTGATCTGCTTCGGATGACGCGACGGGTGGGGTTTTAGATACAGTATATAAGGTGAAGGGCTTTGCAACTCACTTGGTTCATTCATGTGACTTGGTTTCTTCTGCTTTGGGCTGTATTATCTATTGATATCTCTTTACAAAGGTGATACAAAGTACAAGTTGACAGGCAGGGAATCTGTAAAGCATGCTTCATGTGCTCGGCTCTGCATTCATTTGGCTGGACGTTTTGTTGGGGGTCTTAAAGCAAGAGAGGGATCACGCGTCAGCGAAAGGAGAAACAGGAGATTCGTCAGTCGAGGAAGCGGGATGAATCTCCCAAACACTTTCCGGGTCCAACATGGTCCAACCTCGTGAAATTTCCTGATCGAACCCCTGCATCTATTCATGCGTTTTGAAGAGACAAAAATCTCACTACCCAACAAAACCAGTGGCCTGGCCACCTGGCCAGGGGAGGTCATATTCAAATCCTTGAAGGCTCTTGGGGCGGTGGTGCCTGGCCAGTCGACTTTCTTCGCCTGGCCTGGTGGCCATGCGCCGCCGCGGTTCGAAGAACGTCGGTCCAAACCACCTGCCTGGAAAGCTCACATTACTGAAGAGGTAGCCCAAGGCAGTGGCATCCTGGAGTCTTCTCAGAGTGAAATCCATCACAGCTGGTCGGTCGGGTGGACCCTTTCTTTTCATCCGACTTGAAGGTCATGTCATGCTCAGTCCTAACCTGCAAAAATGGGTCACCTCTTGCTGTCATCTGTGAGATGATGTCCTTTTATTGAGAGGCCTCGTGATCTGTTTGTACGCATATTCTAGGAGACGGTGCATCCTACCATGTTCTACCATCGATTTGCAAATCTTTGCCAGTGCCTCCCAGGTCTTCCAGCACCTTCCAGCAGTTCCTGCGCGTGTCCGCGTGTCAACGCAACACGCGACACGCGTGTCACGCGCGCGACGTATATCGTCCTCGGCATCGAGGGCCATGCTCCGGGTCAAGCCATGGCGTCCAGGTGCTCATTGACACGAAAAGAGACTCTCTCGGTTCTTTGGACCTGGATGTGCTATAGTTTGGTTGGTCGGTCCTGGATGTGCTTAAAGAAAACACCAGATTGATCAACTAGGTTTCTTTATAGGTTCTTTTTCCAGTATGTTAGAGTGATCGTCCTTCATGGATTTGGAGTTCCACAGGCCCTGTGAGCGGTTTTTCCTGGACACTTGCCCAATCAAGGCCCGCAGTACCACACTACCAGAGTTCTCTCGAGTTGCGGGGATTCCTAGTTGGGCGAGAGCCCCAGCAAGCTACTGCTACCCAAACTGACATGGCCCACAAGAATTAATATTGCTTTTGGTATGTTTGGGCTAAGAAACTGAATGCTCATATTCAGCAGGCTCAGAATTTGGAGCATCAAGTCCACTTTCCCAATCTAGGGATTCTGATGGCCAATTGAGTTTGCACAGCTTGATTGAGCTGGGAGGCCAGCTGTACTGGAATTCATCTTCTGCGGCTGGGGGTGGACATCCAGCAAATGGTGATCTCTTTGGTGTTTCCAAGGGTGCAGCCCACAAGTGGACATAGCCTTCTGGGCAGTCCGTCGAGTTTTGCAAGAAGCTGTGGCAACCAACATATGATACTGATGTACCAAAGAGGCACGGTTGCGATCGCGGCACAAGAACTTGAAAGACCATCCAAATTTCGAGCCTCACATGTTAGGTCTTGTATGGTCTAGTCACTGCAGCTGCTGAAAAAACTCTTCGGATCACTTTGGACTATGTTTGGATCGCGGCAACTTTTATGATTATCTTTCGAACTGTACTCGTAGACCCATTGTTTACGAGGAATAATCCCAAGAAACATATAACCCTTTGGATCCCAGGTTCAACTAACCCAGCTACTTGTCTACTACGGATTCACCGTGGGATGAGGCTTCACCGACCAAAAAGGATTGACGCCTAGGTTCGCCTGGAAGACACATTAATTATTCATGCTCCTGGAGTCACAAAGGGGTGCCTATTGGAGGAGACGGGCGCCCAGCTACTCCACTCACTGGATGGGACTAAAAACCACCCCTTTTTGACCCCTGGCTCAGCCATACTTCCCTTGACCAAGAACCTCTGTTCTGAGGCTGAGGCCTTGGCCCGCCCAGCAGTCGCGCCATCGGTCCAGCAGTCGCGCTTTAAAGGGTGCGGACGGGTCGACCGGCTTTCGTGAAGGCACATGGGAAACCGCAAAGAAGGTGATGTGGATAGTATGGCCCCGATTTCGCATCACAATCGGCCGAAAACCCAAACAGGTCGTGATAGGGTGGTGCCATCCACTTATCCATGATGACTTCAGGGACTTCATACCAGCCTCTTACAGCCTGACTCGGAGGTTTTCGGCCTCCTCTCCGAATCGCCGCCGGGCGCCGTTCGGAAACGGGTTGTTCTGGGGGGTCGGAATGCCCGGATCGGGGGGGCCTCCGGCGAACGGTCTTCGCTTGGCGGACCCCATACGACCTGAACACCCACCGAGGCTTTGGGGGGGAGTTTTATTCGGGGGGTTCATCCACTGGGTCGCCTCCTTGGGCATTCAATGGTTTTCCAGCAAGAAGGTTGACACTGCTATGACATGACCTGCCTAGTACAGTAGGTGTCGCTGTTTTGCTCCAGTCGGACGTCCAATCCTTCAAAGCCTTGCGTCTTCTTTTGCCTTTTGCCGCAGCCATTGGGCCAGCAGACTGGTATCGCTCTGGTGAATCTGACACACTGCACCACAGTGGTTATTCCACCAGTAGTTCATCCACCAGTGCAAGACATCCACATATTGTTCATGGCATTGGAAAGAAAGAGCCTTGCCACGTCCACTCTCCCTATGATGACGCGTACAATTGACAAAGTTCACCAGAAATCTCCACAAAGACAAGCAAAGAAAGCGGAGGTCGATGCGTGGTAGAAACCAAGCGTATACGATACAATCAGGAACTTCCTCAGTTGAGACCGTAGAACCAGGTGCTGGAAGGTGAAGAAGTCATGGAAACTAGATCAAGGATACTATACTGACTGAGACAAACCGCTTAAATCCGAACATCCTGTTTTGAGACGAAAGGTCGACCACTGTTTGGCCCCAGGGGAAAAACTGAGGTAACCTACGGTCTAGATTCTGACTCATGCCGGTAAAGATGATGGTAGACCCTGGTGGAGAGTTTCGTTCGGTATTTGTTTTGTTCTATATGGTACAGAAAACAAACACATCCCCTGGTGGAGCTCGCCACGTTCGCACGCCGCAGCTTGTGGAGTTCGCTGAGTTTTGATAGGGGTCGAAGGCCGGCCTGGTTTCTTTGCAGGGAGAGAGTTTCTGCTTTGGGTCACCCTTCCTTTCCATCATGGAAGTGGACACTTCTCACAATTGTCCACTTTGAGTGTTGGGTGGAAGGTGGTCCTATTGTCGGGTGGAGGGTGGTCCTATATCCCAAAATGAATTGATTGGTCAAGCAGGGGCAGCACCGCCAGGAATCTTTCTTCATCATCTTCATCTGCCATAGTACCAAGAGAAGACTGGATTCTTGTGGTGCGTCCAATGCAGAACATATTTTTCAACATTGCCAGGTTTCGTCCTGGCACCCGGAGCCTCAAAGCACGGGCCCGGTTGACCATGTCAGTCAGGTAGTCTATTCTGTTCCATTTTCCGTAAGAAGACGTTTTCCGGTGCCATGACCCACAGCGAAGAACGCCGCTCTGTGGCGCAAGAACGCCTACGCCGCTCAGGCCGCTCGGGCCGCGCCTCGGCCGCGGTTGGGCGGCGTTGCTTTCGTGGCAGGGAGGAGAGACCCCTCCACCCCGTCCCGGTGCGAGACGCGGCGCGACGCGACCAGAACGGTCGCCCAAGCTGCCCGGCATGGACGATGCCACGGATCTTTTCCTCTGGGGCGGCTCGGAGGGGATCGACTGGCTGAGATGTCATGCAAAAAAGAACGAGAACTGTCCATGTTCATTGAAGGTTTCGGTCAGAACTAGGAGAAGAGGTCTGTGATCTGGTTCCATTTTCGATCATGGAGAGCATCCGCTATGAAACCTTGAAAATCAGTGAGAAAACATGAGAACACATTGATGGAACGCCCTGCTCTAAATGAGTCACGCACTGGGTGGGAGTGCCCCCAGTTCCCGCGCACGCACACGTGACACGCGACGCCGGTGGCGTCCAGCTCCGGGTCCTCTGCATTCAGGGCCATCAAGGGTCCAAGCCATGGCTTGAAAGCCGAGGCGGTCCAGGTGCTCATCGACACAGCTGGAGAGATTCTCTCGGCTCTTACGTGTGTTGTTCCAGGTGCTCATTGACACAGCTAGAGAGATTCTCTCGGCTCTTAGGTGTGTTGTTTGGTTGGTCGGTCCTGGATGTGCTTCAAGAAAACACCACATTGATCAACCAAAGGTTTTTATAGGTTCTTCATGGACACTTGCCCAATCAAGGCCCGTACCACACTACCAGAGTTCTCTTCATTCGTCGTGGGGAATCCTCGTTTTTGGGCTTGTGAGATCGCCAGCAAGCTACTGCTACCCAAAACTGACATGGGCCCATGGCCCGCAATAGTATAACTATGTAATTGTGTTTGGATGTGTTTTTGTATGTTTGGGGTAAGAAACTGAATGCTCAGGCTCAGAATTTGGGGCGTCAAGTCCAGTTTCCCAATCTAGGGATTCTGCTGGCCAGTTGAGTTTGCACAGCTTGAGCTGGGAGGCCAGCAGTGCTGGAATTCATCTTCTTCGGCTGGGGATGGACATCCAGCAAATGGTGATCTCTTTGGTGTTTCCAAGAGTGCATCCCACAAATGCACATAGCCTTCTGGGCAGTCCGACGAGTGTTGCAAGAAGCCTCACTTGTTAGGTCTTGTATGGTCTAGTCACTGCAACTGGTTCAAACTCTTCGGATCAATTGGGACATCTTTGGACCAAATTCTTCGGGTCTCTGCAACTTGTTGGATCATCTTTCAATTCTCACGCGTAGACTTGTTGTCCACGAGGAATGGGAGATCCTGGTGTCAAGAACGGACACAACCCTTTACCTTTTTAGTTCGATCCCACGTTCAACTGGCCGGCTACTTGTGTCATTATGGATATGACATGGAAGTAAATCTGGAATGATGATCCAAAAGACCAAAGGAACTGGACACCTAGGAGCCCCAGGTGCCCCAGGTGCCTCTTCATGTCATCTTCATTGTCACTTTCCGCCCCTTCGCCAGGTCCGCCCCTTCGCCCTCAGCGGGTCTGGTGCTCTTTTGGTTGCCCCCCTTGCGACGGTTTGGGTGGGCTCGCACATGGGGCGAGCCCAGTGTTGAGAGGGGCCCCGATTCACGAGATGGCGATTCACGAGCGGGTCACAGGACCTGGCACCAATGGATGGCACGTTTCGGCAGCAGAACTTGTCCCAAAATCCACCAGCGACTATAGATATAGAAAGTATGCCTATAATTATAGCTGTTGGCCTTTTCAGATTTTTGCGCTAGACTCGTAAGGGGCCCCTTTGATTTCAGAGGTTTCTTGGATGCACTCGGATTTCGGAATGAAGAGGTCTCAAACATGATAACAGAAAACATTAACACTTGCTGTGTGAAACCCAAGGAGTTTTACTTTGACCTTTGTGTTCCTTGAAACCCAGCATGAAGTCTCCTGATAAATATGAGTCCTTGACATTCAATCATCCCAGCGCAAGGTTGAAACAGAACTGGTATATACTTTTTCCTGGTAAGCCATCCAATCCCATAAGCCTGCAATGGTCTAGCCGAAGTCGCAGCCATTGGACCATCAGGCTGACACCGCTCTGATGGTGAATCTGACACACTGCACCACAGTAATGCATCCACCAGCAGTGCAAGACATCCACATAGGGCTCATGGCGTTGGAGAAAGCTTTGCCATGTCATGTCCAATGCTGACCATGTAATGTGTCAAATCATGTCAAATCAACAGGAAACTCCCGGAAAAAAGAAGCGGAGGTCGATGAGTGATAGA